ACCTGAAGCTGCCCATTGTGTTGCAGCTGTAGCTCTAGGAAGAGAAGGATTGCTTGTTCTGCATAGATTCTGTACCTGTTTATGTACTACATTGAAATGATGGCATTTTGAGCAGTATGACAGTATTAGCTCCTGTTCTGCTGGGCATCCAGTATAACCCCCAAGGCTTTTCTGAAAATAATTTGGACAGATGATTCATTTTGCTTAAATGCATTACATTTTTTCCCTGCTGAACTCCATGTTATTTTTAAGACTCTCCAATTTTTGAAGCTCATTTTGAATTCAAATCCTGTCCTTCGGTCCATTTGCTATACCTCCCTTCTTCATAGTTACATATACGTTTGATAATGCTGTTCACCATTTCATCATCCAGATCATTAATGAAGATGTTGAACAGAATTGGATCCAGTGCAGGCTTTTGGGTACCTCTGGGTGACACATCCTCCAAATAGACTGTGTACCAATGATAACTGCTCTCAGCCATCGACTGTATGTGCTTTGTGCTTCTGTTGCAGCGTTTCTTTTTCTTGCTCCTTTATTGCTAGTGTCCTTGTGGAACTGTTGTACAAGACTTGATGAAAGTATTAATAAGGTCAGGAAACATGACAGCTATCAGTTCCATCATGCCTGTATATTCTGATGCACTGTTGCAGAAAAAATTAGTTGTACTCATGACAGATGCATATCTGCTGATGTTTCTCTCCTTTTCTCCTCCAAGTACTTGTTGATGTTTCTTTGTTTTATGTATTCTGCATTATTATTATTTATTTACTTATGGAGACTGAAGCTGAGCTGAATTTGTATTTCCGCTTCTTTCTTTTTTATAAATGAGGCTGACATTTGTCCTTGCTCAGTTCTCAGATTTCTCCTGTCCTTTGAGTTCAGAATACCAGTTAGCTGCTTTGAGATTACTTCAGAGACTTCCTTAAATGTTTTAGAATGCAGTACTGAATGTATGTACTTTCCTACTTATCTAAGTACTCTCTAAACTCATTCTTTCTTTTCCTTTCTTAGTGGAAATTATACCTCTTTTTGGTTTGCGGATTCATTTTGATTGTCACCTGCTCTTGATCTTCCTTTTTTTTTCTTCCTTTTTTTCCTTTCTTTAGCGAAAGTAATCCTTAAGCCCTATTGACATCATCTTGTGTATTCTCTCTCTGTTGGTTAATGGATCAATGTTTTCCACTTTCTTTATGTATTGACAAATGATGACATTCTTTTTGTTGTTCTTCGGGTTTCTTGTTAGGTTCCTCCTCACCTCGGTATCTTCTAACTTTTTCTCTGCATGCTTGAATTAGTCTACATACAATCTTAGTAGTGATAACCAGTTTCCTACTTTGTGTATACTTGCTGTCATTGTTCAGCTAAGACGCTGATTGAACCAATTTTATTTTTCACTGTACTCATCTGCTTTGGGGAAAAATGCAGTTGTGCAACACCATTGTTCTGAGGTTTTCATTCTTAGGATTCTGATGTTTCTTAGATTAGAGGGAAAAAAAAAAAGAACTTATGTTCGCATTGCTCCATTTTCTTTTAAATAATTAATCTAAGCACAAGTTCCTCTCAAATAAATGTGAGGCTAAATAGATAAATGCAGAGCATTTAAAACTTGCAATTTCATCATGTCATTAACTGGATCATTTCTCATACAGAATGATTGCTACTTACATTTTTTTCTTTAAATGAAGCTATCTATTAATAGGGGGCTTGACAGATGTACATTATTAGAATGCAAAAAGCCCTTATATACTGATGACCATTAAAGCCTTTATAGAATTTTGGCAATGCAGTTGTAAGCTAACAGTGTCAGGTGTTTTGTGCAACATGGTTCATTTCCTGTGGTATAGCAACTTTATCTGTTACTTTTCTGGCTTAGTTCTGATTTTGAAAGCCATACTTCTGTTACTGTGACATTTGAAACGATTCTGCAGTTTTGCTTCCTTGCAGAAATGGAAGTTGATCCCTAAGATCTCAGAATCAAATTTATTCATTATATTCACAAATGGAGTTTCCCATTTACTTACCACGCAAATACTTAAATTCATGATCTGTAACAAAAGTACTTGAGAGAGAACAGTTTTGCTCACCTGTGGGGTGTAGTCAACAGCACAACATCTTGCTGAAGGATGGTAGGGATTAGTGGGGTGCTGATGCTGCAGATCCCAGTACTTAGTGATTTATTCCATTTGGATAGGAACTGAATCTCTGTTTCCCATTTCTTGTCAACTTCCAGCTTTTTAACTGTGTAAATAAATATGGTTGAAGTGGATTAGGTACAGTGAAACTTTATTTGTAGCGGAGAAATAGAATGAAGTATTTTAACTGAAATGTTGCAAAATGAAAATAGCAATTCCAGTAACTGCAGCTCTCAGATTACAGAAATGTTTTGCCCTGTTTTCTCCCTGCAAGTTTGGCTATGCTGTCCTTGAAAGTATTTTGCACAGTTCTTCAGTGCACTTTATGTGGGGTTATGTGAGCGTCACTCTTTTTAATTTAACCTGTTTCTCTAAACAGCCTGTAGATCAAGGCATTTGTCACTGCCATTAGTTATTTAGTAAAGACAGTCTGTAGCCTCTGAGCTTCGTAAAAGACAGATCTTTATCATTAATCAATATTTGTAATATTTGCTAATATAAATCTGTCATTACTGGCTCATCTTTTGAAGTTAATTTCGGATAAAGCACTTTGTTACAGGTAGAAGCAAAAGTAACAAAACCACCAGAAGCCACGTCCTTAACTTTGCTGGCACATCAAAGTTGTAGTGCATAAACCTGAGTCCTCATGTGAAACCTAACTAATAAGCAATAATAATGGAGAAACTTAACACATTCCCAAATTGCAAAAAAGTCTTCATTAAAGTAGAGCAGCTGTTTATATTCTGGACCACATGGTCTAGTCAGCATGATAGGAACACAGTGGCGATGGATCAGCAAGTTTGCTTTTACTGGAAGATACACACATTTTCTTATCCGCTCTACTGGGTCGATATTAAAGAAGAGCTGGAGTTGGGTGAATAATTAGAGTAATTTTCCATTTATGTTTCTCCCCAGCCTGCTTCAGGCCAGAGAGGTCAAATAGATGCTAGGGAGAAAATGTGCATCTGGAATTAGTCTGAAAATAAATACGTATCCCATGAGTAGTGCTGTGTACAATTTGCTTAGTCTTAGAGAACTAACTAAGTTTGTCTGCCACTTGATTGCCTGCTTCATCTAGGAAATCTGCTTAGTCTGTGTGATTCTGAAAACAATTTTTCTTCAGTTTCAAAATCTGAGGGATGTAAGTTAACTATTTCTCATTTCTTGCTTCTTTCAGCTTTCCCTTTCACTTATCAGAGTTACATTACTCACCAGCTCTCTTTGGCTGGTTTGCAGCTCGGAGGCTTTCCAGTGACAGAGACAAGCTCTAGATTTCCTAGCTAGATGTGGTGAAACAACGACAGCCTGGAAATCTCATGGCAATACCTGACATAAAATAACATCTGACTCTATCATGTCCTTCCTTGCAATTCAGTGAGATGAACTTGAATATTTTGCATGCTTTCTGGATAGGAGCATACTCTGTAGCAATCTAGGTGCCAATGTAATTGTATTTATTCTACTTGATCTCATTCATGTAATGCTGTTATGGCTGCGATTTCTTGGCATTGCACATCTGGCAATAAAATATGCATCTGAGGTAATTATTTTATTTCAAAACCTTGAAGCGGTTTGCTTGTTCTCCTAATTTTGCTTGTCTTTCATCCAGTACTTTCAGCAAAACAGGTAGCACATGGTCTTCTGTTTGTTTTGTCCTGTGAACTATAGGATCACGTCTCATCTGTTTAAAAACACCGTACTTCTGCATTAATCTAAAGAAGTGAAACACAGTCAGTAGGTAGACTTCGTGCTTGCTTTGACACAAGAGGTGATCTAACTCCATTACTGGGTACTGTCCAACTTTTCCATGTGCACTTTTCTGAAGCATATTCTCTTCAGTTCAAAAGCAAGGGAACCACAGTCCCCCAAAGGAAACGTCCTCATTGGAGAGGCACAGGTGGCTTCTTAACTGTCTTTAGTGAAATGACTGAACAGTTGGGCTGGCTTGGGAAGGTAACCTTAAATTCTTGTACTGTTAAGACCTTCCAAATATCAGACACATTGCCTGACGTATTTATTCTGTTATTATGATTGAGAAAGCATGTGCTCCTTCGGTGTCAGCTAAAAGAGGTACAAAACATGGAACTGCCTGATCTTAGCTTTCCTGCCAGTACAGGCTTTTTAGTGTTTGTTACTCCATTGATTTTCAATCATTGAGCTTTCTTAAAGTCAGTTTTTCAGGATGAGGAATCGGTTCCAGTTTCAAACTGTATGTTGATTGGTCTATAGTTGACTGTATACGCAACATCATTTAGGGCATAGAAGTGATGAACTCTGCCCTTTTCTGCAGCTACTGCTTCAGTGTCCCTTTTATTCAGTCTGCTTTAGGCTTATCTGTGGGCAGTGTTTGCAGAGAGAATACAACTCATTGTTGAAATTTCACTTTACCTTGAAGTGATCTTGAAAACAGAAGGGTTTTTACTATAAACTTGAGAGTATTGTTTTGTTTCTTTGCCAGATACCAAATAGCATAGTGCTGCACGCCTGTGTGATAGCAGACAGAGCTAGCCTTACCTTTTAAGCTTTCAAACAATCTAACTTGCAAAATGCATGGGTAAAAAATGAAATGAAGGACACATTCTTTTCTTTGGAATTTCTGGAGATTGAATTGATTGAGACACTTCTAAGAGCTGTGTCCTTTGGGCCTCTTAGGAGGCTCTTGCAAGATGAATGATTGCACAGTAGTATTATTTTGAAATGAGGGCTTGAATTGCAAGAACAAGCTCCCACTAAGTGAATACCCTACACTTATCCTTAACCTCAGATTTTCATTTTACTGATACATATGATTTAAGAAAAAAAGCTTTATCTTTTCTACTGTTAAAGAAATACCTTCACAATTTTTTTTCCCCTCTCCTTTCACAGGTTCCAACTATGGAAGTCCCCGTCCAGCTCATGCCAACATGAATGCCAATGCAGCTGCAGGGCTTGCCCCAGAGCATATCCCTACACCAGGGGCAGCTCTGTCCTGGCAAGCTGCAATTGATGCTGCCAGGCAAGCCAAATTGATGGGTAGTGCTGGCAATGCAACAATATCCACAGCTAGCTCCACGCAGAGAAAACGGCAGCAGTATGGGAAACAGAAAAAACAGGGTACCACGACAGCTACGCGTCCTCCCCGGGCACTGCTGTGTTTAACACTGAAAAATCCCATCCGGAGGGCATGCATCAGCATCGTCGAATGGAAATATCCTTTTTGATGTTCTCATTTGGAAAACAGCAAATTGTTAGTGTGCATCAGGCGCTATTCATAAGTGGGAAGAAATCAATACATTAAGTTGAAAGGCGCCATTGGGAACATAAAGTACACAAGCAATATTTGCTATCTTAACTGAGATCATTTATGCTGGGAAAAAAAATGCTTAGGACGGAAGCCTTAACCATACCCTTGTGTAAGAAACTGCCAGAAGCTTAAACAATAAAGGGTAGGGGTTGAATTCTTTTAAAAATATGGCTGAAACTGAAATTGATGGGAGATATGCAAGATATCTGAAGCCAGAATTGAACCACTCCACGGGACTGGTGGCAGCTACTACCTTTCCCTTCTTTTTGCAGAGCTGTAGCCACATAAACAGCTCTGGAACTTGGAATCATGTGGTTGAATACACAGCATCACCATTTCTACAGTATGGAGAATGGAATAGGGAAAAATGGGGTTGGGAGGAGAACTAATAAAAAAAAAACCAAACCCTGATGTGATAAAGCCCTGAAACGAGGCTAAGCTCTGTTAATCATATTGGGATTCAATTGAAACTAATAAGACTCCCTAATATATGGAAAGATAAACTGATTATCTCAAAGTAGAGAAAAAGACAGATAGTTAACGTGATCCTGCCACATGTGCACATCCAGTATGGGGCCAGAGCTAGCAGGCTGAACAAGAGACAGATTGTCACAGATGATAGATGATAACCACTGACATAGAGCTGCAGAAGGCAAGGGTCAGTGCTGCTTTCTTGGAAAGCCAATGAGAGCTTGGCTGTTGGCTCCTTCATGTGGAAGGAGCAAAGTCTACTTTAGTCAGCTGATTCTGATCAGCAAAGCTGGAAGTTGTGAATTTGGTGTGAAATAGAAACAGAAGTGGAAATATAACTCCCCTGTTTCCCTGAAGAGAAACCAAGACTGACTCTGAACAGTAATAGTCAGTAAATCACAAGCTAATGGGATTCTTCAGTAAATGTGAAAGCAAAACTACGTTAGGAGTAAATAAGCACGTCAGGGGAAGGCAATACTGAACTCAGCAGTAGTTAATATGATTAAAAAAAAAAAGCCATTTAAGACAATGAGATAATATTGTCCCTTTGAGGGTCTAGCGGGACACTGAAAAGATAAAAACAGAATACGAGCATGTTAGGATATCATTTTCAGAAGAGCAACTTGCTAAAAGCATTGTTGTCAATTGTTAGATATCCTTAAAGTTTCTGCCTGCCTATTCCTTTCTTCAGATGCTAATTTTTAATCCCTTTGATTAAAGTTTGCTACTATTTATCCCTTCTGGCATAGCTGTGATACTTTGAGCATAAGATGATGGATGATGACTAACAGGATGAAGCTGAATATTGGTTTACTTGCCAGCACCCCAGTAAGCACATCTATAGCGAAAGAGCACATAGTGACATTTGATAAATGAATAAGATCAGCAATGAATGATGGGAATAATGTGTTGTAAAACAGGATACAGCACTGCTGAGATCAAGAGGAGGACCAAACAATGTGATTAAAGCAATCCAAATATGCTGACACTTGCATTTTTTTTGGTATTTGTTTGGTTTTAGGTGAGTTGGTGGAAATATCTTTTTCCTCACAACTTCTCATTGGATATATAGTCCTTATAAAGATGAAACACTTCAAGGACAAATAACAATATCAAAGGGCTGTGATAAGATTTATTTTTTTAACTGTACACTGACTTTTCCTAATTGCTGAAAATTACTGAGCAGACCTTAGCTTAATTTTCTGAACCTCTGAAAGCTAAATGCAGTAGATATTAAATATCAAATGTCCCTTCTATGATATTTCATACTCAAACATTATAGTGTTAAGAGCCTGAAAGTGCACTTGTATAGAAGAAAAAGTGAAATGAAGTAATTTCTTTATTTTGCAAAGATTTACCTGCTTATTCTTCTGCTGGATTTGCAGTGTGTTTTCAGATTTTAAACCATTTTACTTTTGCAGTGTTTAAAGAGTCTAGAAGTAAAAATAAATAAATAAAATACATAAGTAATGATAAGTTTATGAACAATATGCCTCTGAGGAAAACAATTCTAGGCAAAAGACAATTAAGAAAAAGAAAGCCTATGGACATGTAGGTCTTTATGCAATAAACGCTGTGTGTGAATCTTGAGGTATCTGAGAAATCCAGTGCTTTCACCAGTAATGCATCTATGCTGATCTGCAAAGCTCTGAAGTTTGCCCTGAAATTCCTGAACGCCTACTAGTCACATTATCCTTGCACTTCTATGTCAAGCCTTAGTTGCTGCAATGACAGCTGACGCCTTTTAGAAAGGACCCTACCTGTCTTCTTCCCCCATGTTATCATGCACCCCTTAGCTTTCATAAGCTTAAGCAGATAGCCCAGTGGGTTTGGAACCCTTTGACTCATCCACATGTGAAATACAGAACGTATATGAGCATATACAGAAGTCAGTTGCCTGGAGGTTGTCTATTTCTTGCAGTTCAGGGAGCTGGAGATCTAGTTTATTTTTGCTAAAACCTGCTGAGAATGGTAGTTTGCTGACCAAAAACATACATACCGTGTTGACATCTGGCAACTCTGCAAAGCCAATCCCATGGTAGATAAACTTACACTCAGATGCACTCTGTGGCACAGGTTATACCTTGCATTCTCTGTGTCCTTTCCTGCTTTTCATTCCTCTCCAGAGCACTGGTGAGTTATCCCAGAGCTATCTGCCAGGGTGATCTTGCAGGAAAGTATATATAGACAGACTGTAAATCTGGTCTCTGGTCTAACAGGAGACACTTCACAGCTACTAATGTTAAGAAGACTACAAAAAATAAGTGAAATACACTGCCAGCAAATTGAAGTCAGTAGAGAACAGCCCTTAGATTTCCACTGAGTATTGGTGCAACATCAGAGTTGGTGCATGGTTGGTTTGTTGAACATCCAACCTGTTTTTTTTGGTCTGTTTTTGTTTTGAGGACATTAATGACAGGCTGTAATGCCCTTGAATTGGTGGTAGTTTCTGTCATTAGGAGGTCTTATTTTCCTGGTGTCCCTACCATTCTTCATACACACATTTCTTTTGCCTACGAAGCCAACTGAAATACAAATACAAGAAAAAGAAATACTATATTAAATAATTTAAAAGAAAATAGTAATAATACGGCTATAAACAATATAAGTACTTTTTGGATAAAGCTTTTTTTTTCTCATAAATTGCATCAAAGTTGTTTTCTACCTGAATATACACATGTATTGGGCCCTTGCATTTAACTCTGAGACATGAGAGAGATTGGAAAAAAATATAAATGAGGATGGAAAAGACTAAGAGACATAAACTAACTGCAGGAGAAAGGATGACAGGCCTTTCAGAACAGGCTTTTGTTATTAAAAACAGTACAGCCACACTTGAAGGAAAATAGGGAAAATGCTATCTAAATAAATAAAAGAAGAAAAACTTTTAAGAAATCTGTGTTTACACTGGCACGCGACTGGCCTACACTGCTTTTGACATATTAGGAAGATTTTTGGCCAGGAGCAACTAAAAGCACTTAAAAAGGCATATGTTTCTTTTCAGAATATAAGGAGCTTGGAATGTTTTCTTTAAACAGAATTCTTATAAATCTTTTACTTTTTCTTTTTTTATTTGTCTGTGCACATTTCAGAACAATTTCCTTAACTCCATTCCTCAGACCATTTGAAATAATTATTTTACTGACTATTTTTGCCAATTGTGTGGCCTTAGCTATCTATATCCCCTTTCCAGAAGATGATTCCAATGCCACCAATTCCAATCTGGTAAGTCCTTGATGCTATCTAATCTTATTCCTTTGAAAGTCCTTTTTAGAAGTTTCCAGAGAGACTGCTGAAGTTAGAGAGCATAGATATATTCACCAGAGATGAAAACATAAAAAGTTAAAAATTGGTTTCGAGTGCTAAGTCTCCTCTATTCATGTGAGCACCTGTTTCAATTGAGCTGGCTTTAGCAAGGATTGTTCTGAAAACTGTGCGGGTGCTGGATGCGATGTTTTGGCTAGCGAATTTCTGCATGCTGCAAAAGTGCTTGGTAAGTTTAAACTGCAGGTGTTTGCGGACAAAATCCTTTAACTGAGGATTATGTGGTGTTTTTGCTTTTCAAAGTGCTATTGTGAAGTTGAGGCAGTCCTACTGCCAGGTGATGCCTGGAAGCACAGCTAGATGACTAATTTCTGGGAAGTGCATTAATGCGTGCATTTCACACCGAGATACGTGTTGTGTTGAACAATATGGTTTTTTTCTTTTCCTTCTTGTGAGGGGAATACAGCTGTTTCTATGCCACTGATGATGATAATGCTGGTAATTTAGGGCAGAGAAAGGAGAGTGTTTACTTTTGGCTTAGCATGAAGTCATAGCGAAGAATTCTGTTCGGTAAGGGCACGATGCAAAACAGTTCTGGAAGGCGATTCACTGAATTAGCAGAAAACATTTTTCTTCCTCCCAAATATGTGAACAAATCTCCTACTTGTGTGGCTGGATCAGAATGAAAACTTACTCCCAAAGTTTAAGAGCTGGGATGTTATTTCTTGATTAAAATTTACCGAGACATAAGAATTTTTAGAGAAGCAGAAGAGGAAAATAAGAGCCATTTTTCCAAAGTAGGGATAGTTAGCGTGGCTGACAGGCACTGTAATTAAAATGATCCATGCTGTTCTCTGGATATAAGTCATTTGACTAAATATCTCTTGAAGTTGTGTAAAATAAATTGCAAACTTCAGGACTTTTCTGGAAGAAATTATTGTTTTTTTTAAATGAATCTATGTGTAATGTTTTCCATAGTAACTCTGTAGAGAAGTTTAAAAACAGAAGCGGGAGGAGAAAAGTGATTGTTAACTTTTTAACTATTCTCTATATTTACAGTTAATTTCAAGTACAGACTGGCTTGGGGAAATTTGTGGTTTGATGTCTCTTGTTTGCTTCCATCTCTATGCTAAGCCTGACATAGTGTTGAACAGTGATGAACCACAGTGTGTACATTTAAAACATCTCAGTGTGGCACCTTTCAGAAATTGGTATATTTTAATAAAATCACAGATTCAATTATTCCTCTGGCTATAAAAGACAGCATGTTGTTTATTGCTTGTTCTGACTTGCAAGGTTTCAAGAGAAAAATTAAGCAGAGTTAAGGTCAGAGGATGTCTAATTTGTCTTGAGCTTAATTAGGTGTGGGTATTTCCTTATTTAAGTGATGAGATCTCTGGCTAATACCGGGTTCAAACAACCTCATAATTGAATAAGGTATGCTGAAACTGCTCTGTTCTTAGAAAATACATGCAATGTGTGAGCTGTGTTGCTTTCTGAATTTGTTTCCTGAGGCATTTTTTACCTCTCGTTCAATCCATCGCAACACCCTTGTTGGTTGCGAGTAGGATTTAAAACCAAAACCCAAAAAAGCAACCAAATGATTATAGGCTCGGGAGATTTTAGAAGTGTTACTGCCTTGAGGATGAGGCAGCACAGTCAACTTCTCTAACAAGATGTTTCAGAGAAGCAAAGGGGTAAAGTAAACTGAGGAATTTATTCTTTGGGCCTCAGTGAAAAAAGTAATGAAAAATGTAAAATGGAGTACTTAATTTCCACTGGCCTAGGACGGGTTTGCAGTGGTGGAATCAAGACTCTGTTCTGTGTTATAGATTAAATCCTGGAGCTCTGACTGCCCAGTACACTTTGTTCCTGTGATCTGAAAAAGGTATAGATGACAGGACATGGTTGGTCTGAGTCACTGAATTATGCTTCATGTTTTGTTGGACTTCACTCCAACTCACTCTCGTTCAGCAGTGAGTTCAGCACTCGCTCTTGTTAGTATTCTTTTTGTTGTTGTTGCTGTTTGTTTGTTTTTGTATTTTTTTCCCCTCAGATTGTTATAGTTTGGCAGATAATTCCTTCTGTTGGGAATCAGAATTTTTGTATATGTTTTTCATGGCATTCTCAAACTCTTCACAGGACTGTATAGTTATCAGCAATAGTGAAGAAATGTGGGAGCAAGTGGGTGAGACAAGGGTCAAAAAACACTAGCGGTATTTTGGGATGAGATGAAACTCAGATTTAAAGGAAAGCTATTCCAGATAGAATGAACTGCAGAAGTCTGAGACCTTACTCTCAAATAGCTGAACAATATAAGGAATAGAGTAGAAAGAAGTTAGAGTTGGTGATGTCTCCTTGTAAATTTGGAATACTGGCTTGATGTTATTTTCTTTTAACCTGTGAGCATGTATTTTGCAATCAGATTTATTTTGTAGACATGAAGTCTAGAGCTCCATAATCTGAAACAGGAATGGAGTCTGTCTGCAATGCTTGCATGTGGGTTAATAGTGCACACAGATGTGTGTTCTGTGCAGAAGTGTGAGGCTGACCAAACACATACAAAATGTTCCTAGTTGCCCAGGAGAAATTTCATTTCCATTTTGCAATTTAATTCTGTAGTGATAAACCTACCACAGATATTTCCACTTCCCTGATTTCCTGAGCCTCCATAACTTTCTGAGACAGAAAGGAACCATCCACAGGAAACATATGATGGATAGTAACTTTTATACAGTCTGAAAGTGACAGAACAACAGTTTCCCAATAAACTGCTTGAATATTTTGTTTTAGGTCTGAGATAAAGATTCAAACAGTCATTTTTAATAAGCTAACTGAATAGAGGGCAGTGAGAGAAGACAGGAATTCTGAACCGAGTGTTTTCTTGCCTTTCTGTAAGAGGAGAAATACAGTAATAATATTTTGATACAGAATTATGATGTCTGTGAATTTCACAGATGTGATCAGATCCAATGAAGCGTACTTATTTGTGAGTATAGAAACCAGTAATGTATGGTCATGTCTCCATTTTCATAAGCTTTGTTTTTAGTTGCAAGCCTTATTCAATGCTACGCCATAGTAATCAGCATTAAAATTAAATACAGAAGTTTCTCCTAAATAAATTTTTTTCTTTTAGCAAGGAATTGTGGTTAACTGTTATGCACTGATTTAGGACAAAAATCACACATGTACTGACTGGTTTCTTGCAATCTGACTTCCTATAATAATTCCTATAAATTATGAAACTATTTATGTCAAATCTAGGGGTGTTAGCTTGAACTGGGCAGCACTTTCATTTTCACAATGCGCATATGTATAATAAAACCCAGATCCTGTATTTTTATGCTTACTGGAGTTATTTTTGCTATTGGCTTTAAGAAATCTGCTAGAGCAGTATCATGTAGTAATAACAAAAGCTTGAAATTGGCTTCAGCAGTTTGTACATTTTTACTTCTACAGTGTGTTGACTGGAAAACTATTAAACTTGTACAAATGGAGGGGAGTTGTATTAGCTGCAACATTGTTTTGATATTAATCAACTCTGCTGAGGTTTTGCTTAAATTTACAAGTAAAGAAAGCTCATGCATGACCCTGTGCAAAGAGCAGTTATGTATTCTCTTGATGCAGCCTGGAAAATTGGAACTAGTTGGAGGGAAATTAAAGTTAGCCTGCATGAGAGGCTGTAACTGATATGGAGGCTTTCTGCTTGTTATCCCTGCAATTATGCATTAGAACAGAGATAATGTACATTTAGGAATAAAACTATAGACTGTCTGAGATAGGAAGCTGAGAGGAAAATGCTTCTGTCACTTTACTGGCAATTGCAAATGGCACAAGCCTGGTCAATGTCACAGCATGGCGATAACATAATGAGGTTAAGACCAACGTTTACAGCGCATTCTGTGGAAGGCAACTCAGCTGGTTGCTTGTGCCTTGGATAAATAACAGGAGAAAATTCCTCATGTTGTTTGGCTAGCTCTAATTCCTTATTACAAGAAGGATACCTTGTCGTACAATAGTTAAATTTTAATAAGAGATCTCTTGCATTTATATATCAGGTTATAATTGGATATCACATTCGGAGACTGATTTGTTAAACCTGAAATAGGATCCTGTGAAAGGGAAGATGGGATCTGTGCTTGTTTGTTACTGCTTGTGCCAGATGGTGTGAGTGCCAGTCCACAGAAGAGGGCTTTCCTTTCAGGGAGGCGTGGTTGCTTTATTAGCTGATGACTTCGGTAGCATCCAGTTCAGTGGGTGATTCCTGTATAAAAAAAAAAAGAAAATATTTTCAATCTTTTTGCATTTGCAGCAGACTGACACAGTAGATGTACATGAGGCTAGATACCTATTATATTTCTGGATACTGGCATAGCAAACTTTATCCTTTTCTATATGAGAATTCCGAAGCCAGCATATCAAACAGTTGCACTTGTCACCATTTCTCTTGTGTGAAGTCAGACAATGTTAGAAAGAAAAATGAAGGTGAGGGGGTCATTAAAAGAAAGCATGTTTTTTTCTGGATAAGAAAGAATGCTACACAAAAGCTTTTTGTTTTCTTCTGTCATTGCTATCGTCCTCCTGTGTGACAGCTCCCAACCAGTGAGGAAATGAGATATGTTAACATTTAGAGGTGAGATGAGGGTGGTGTAGACTGGATACCAAGCTAATAAGCTGTTATAGGTTTTCTAGCTTGGGCCTCATACCAGTGCTACTACAGCTGGGGGAGATGATTTGATATGAAAAGTGAGGAGTGAGCAACAAAAGCTGAAAGTTAGGATATGAGGATGGAAATGGGCTGCAGTGAGGAGAAGGAAAGAGTCTGTTCCAAAAGAATCAGTGAGGACTCAAGAAAGACTGAGAATTACTGATGTGTATGATGCTAAGAAAGCTGAATACGATGGAATTTAGCTGCAACACTTCCAAGAGTCCTCAGAATTCCTATCTCTGTCAGGGGGAGG